AGAGCAGATGCTGCTGGTGCAATAAGCTGTACGTTTTACGTCCAGTGGATGATGATCTGATTAGTTGACTAATCGCAAAAATAATCGGTGACTAGTCGACTATCAAAATAATCGTTTGTGGCAGCCCTAGTAAACACGTCTTTTCCAGACTTAAAGACCAATGGGTACAAATTACCCAGTGTCTGCATTTGTGGCTCATTGTTATTCTTTTCTTCCTTTTTCGCCCAGTAAAATCTCACTTTGCTGTTTGATTTGTCACATTTGCCCCCACCCCCCTTCACTCTCCACCCTCTCATAGAAAATTAATCAGCGCACACACACAAACACCAGCACACACCCCTCTCCGGAGGCTGGTCTGTCATCGGCTCTTCCTGTTTGTTGGCTGCAGCTGTAGCCTGCGTTGCCGTGACGTCGCACCGGTCGATTCTCATCCCAGTGCGGTGGGAAAGCACAGAGACAGAAAAAGGCAGCCAAATGAGACAGACTAGCAGAGAGACGGTAAGGTGGGAGGGAGCGGGGAGAGGAGCAGAGTGAAACTGCACCGATATTCCAAAGAGGGCGGGACACGGAGGCAGTTACTAGAGAATTAGGCGCTGTGCAGGACGGTGCAGGGCAAGGATTTTGCGCAGTAGTGACTTATTATAGAGCACGTTTATATTTTTGTATCAACATGGGTTGTCACTTTACTCATACCCTCATTATTCTCTGTGTGACCAAAAAATAGATTCATGCCTGGGTACCTCAGCACACTGCACTGACATAAGGTAGGGTGAAGGGTAGCTGTGTAAGCATGTGTGTGTATGGTTACTCTGTTTGTGTGGCTTCTATATTTAAACCTCACATATCTGTTTGCTTCCTCGGATGCTCTACATGTAAACATGTAAATGCGCACCGTTTTTTGTCAAGTAAGAGAGGTTACTAATGTAGCCTTCTCTCTTTGGGGACAGTGTCAGGAGATTCAAGCTGTAAGCCATGTGACTGCACAAAGAGCTGCAGGGATTGGCTAAGGTCATCTGTGACCTCAGCATACTGCCTCAGCCACCCCCCCTCCCCCTCTCCTCCAAACACACACACACACAACCCTCCCTCTAAATCTCTCCACCTCCTTCTCCCTTCCCTGCCTCTTTCATTTTTTTCCTCCAGTTTGCTTTTTCCCTACCTCTCAGCATCCTCGGCTGTGAAGGTTTGAGCCGCAGCAGCAATAGCAGCAGCAGCATCCATGGCTCCAGCTCTGATCGACACCTAAGCCGTCCCCCACCCCTCCTCTCTCTCGCTCTATCTCTCTGTCTCTCTCCCTCCTGAGCTAGTTGACAGGCGACGTCTGGGGGTGTTGGAGGTTCACAGTTAGCCAGGGCGTTAGCCACAAGCACACAGCTGTTCTGCTGCCATCAGTTCTACTGTGTTTTAGTAGCCAGGAGCTTCTTCTCTTCCCCCTCCCCTCACGACACCACCTTTCATTTCAGGCTCTTTGGAGATTGAGGAATGCAAATCTGCAACCATGATGGAAGGTAAGATCATTTTATTCTGTCTTTTTTATGCCACCCCATTTTTCTTTTGTAATTCAGGATAATCCTTAATGGCCTTGTTCTTGTGTGCTTCATCTCGTAGCAAGTGTATGAGGTATTTGAGGTTGAGATGTCAGAAGCTGTCCTTCTGTTTCGAGCACACGCATTTTGTTGACTTGCTTGTTATTCTTGGGAAAAGGGCACAGCCACTGAATATCTACAACAGAGGCACAATGGCGAAGCTAATTGAAGCGTGTGTACCTTTTTTTTTGTGTGTGTGTGTGTGTGTGTGTGCGCACGCATATGTCTGAGAACCCCCAGCCCCCCTTTTTCCCGCTTCCCATCGTAAAGGATTATTTGGATTTATTGTGCAGGAGGGCTTATGTACCCAGCTGGCTCACTTGTATAAATTTTCTTTGTATGGTGTGCTCTGAAACGGATGCACACGCTCACTGCACTGTATGACTTTGCCGTGCGTTCACGCTACATGGCTGTTTAACCCAGCACTTGTATGTTTGCACGGGCAAGTGCACGCGTACATTCGAGCCTGCCGATGGCTGGACTGAGCCGTCTCTGTGGGATTAAGCATAGTGATGAAAAAGAGAATTCATCATTGTTTTAATGTCATGTCCCTTTAATTGGTGACATCATTAGGGGCAGGCCGGTGATGTAGGAATGAATCTCTGTAGCTCTGCAGCTGGCACGCGAAACCTTCTGTTTCATATGTCTTTGATTTCCTGGATTTGGTTTGGAAGTACAGTATATAATATATTCAGTGACCAGTTGTATGTTCTATGATCAAAAATGCAAAAGATTTGAAGTGTGTACATTTTAATTGTCTTAAGGTAGAAATTTTCCAAAAATTGTGGATAAATGCACGAGGAAAACCAGTTATTTTGGCTCTTTTGTTTTAATGTCGGATGACCTTAGGACAAGATGGAATTACCTCAGTGGCTGATGAGGACGAATCTTAGCATGCTGTCTGGTTTTATGTGTTTCTCTCTGTGTTTAAAAATAAGTGACAGCTATTGAGTCCTTTACGTTTGCTTTGTAGGCAGGTAATCCACACACGTTTACAGTAATTTGGACATTGGGATATGCTGTTAACCACGCCAGTCCCCTGATTTCTGATGGATTTGTAAGCTTGAGAGAAAATTTCAGTGTTTAAAGGTGTTGTTCTGAGTAAGTAATGGCTATTTGACCAAATGGCTTATCGCTTGACCTTAACTGTGTATTATTATGCTACTGTGTCATGAATAGGCTTACTGTCACTTACTGTCTCATGTGTCATTATACGATGAACTGTGTTGTAGGTTATGATTTATATAATGGCCATATGGCTCCACCCTTTCTGCCAGACCCTGCAATTCACTTGTAACACTGAGGCCTCTAACAATGATATCTAATAAGCTCATGCTGCTCATGCAGACGCAAATAACTCGTTTGTTTTTGAAACAAAAAAGGTAACCCTGGGTAACCTTTTCCTTCCTGTAGGCCGCAGCAGTATAATATGATTCCATGTAGAGCAGGGCGATATGACCAAAAATATTTATCACAATATACATTTGAAAATTTGCGATAACGATATAACTGACGATATAATTGACACTAGACAAAATACTTTACAACTCCACAACTTTATTAAAAAAACCCATCAATGTATTTTCACTTAAACAAGCAGCTGTTTTTTATGTGCATTAAAGTTATATAAAAACGTAACAGTGCAAATTCCTCGCTGACAGTTTAACCAAAAGGCATTTCCAGTGGAATTGGCCGACATATCCATATAACCATGTACAATATCCACAAAACTTAAAGAGGTTATACACACACAATACGGTAATATTATGTTGAAGCGCAGTACGTATCACTCCGCGAGGCTCCGCCTACAATAGCCGTAATGCTCCGGCAATCCATCAAGCGGTGCGGCTTCGTAGCTTAGCAAAGTCATACTAAAACATTTGACAGATTTTCGAGCGCCGTGTACGACATAAAATCGTTTCGAGGTCAGTAAACACAACCAGAATTCATACATAAGGGGCTTTGTCGATTTTCAGAAAAATCAAAGGATTGATTTTAAGTGTGCCGTATTTTCCAAACAACACGGTAATAACGACGGCCCGCTAGCCTACCAAAAATAGTGCTTTGTTGTGTATCTGACGGACGAAAGCTAAACCAGTTCCACACCATGGAAGTTGCAGCATTTTTACAAACCAATTCGCTCTTCTCATTCTGCGTCGCCGCCATGTGCGTATATAAACATAGGCACTGCGCATGCACGTTTTACTCATATTCTATCGCGATATTTCATTTTCCTATCATTGCCCAAAATTACACCGGTATTACCGTGAACGGTATGATATAGCACAGCCCTAATTCCATGTTCAGTGTTGTACTAGGATACAGACTCGCAGTGACAGCACTGGGCAGTTGGACACTAATGGACTAAACTAGAATATGATGAGCTAATTTTTTAGTGTATTGTCCTGTCATAGATCACATAACTCTCTTGGGCCAAGTTATTGGGTAACCAAAAACTACAGACCATCTATAAACCACTTACCTTCCATCAGCATGGCTAGCACAGGCTTACCATGGACTAGTGAGGGCAGGATTACAGTCAGGTGTTAAAATTGGATGCTAATCCTTGTTAGCTCTGCTTTTTAAGGCTTGCATGCTTGGCCCTGAGTAACATACAGGGTAGAAGATGAGTAGTTACTTAAATGTAACCTAGAGAGAGAGGTACAGGCATTTGCTAACGTGTTGCTAATAGCAGCTAAAGTTAGCTCCTCGTAGCTGTTCTGAGAGATGGCTACTGTCTCAATCTAAAATACACATACATTGGTCTCATTAAACTGCTTACTTTTGTTTCATTTGCTAAGATAGGTAGTCACGCTGCACCTTTTAGAGAATGTTGTGCGTTTCCTTAGCTTGGTGGTCTGTTCATTGTTGGATGTTGTAGAATCAGGCCAGTTCTGAAGTGTTGTTTTGTCATCATCAGCTGCAGCAGCCATTATTCAGCTTGGCTGGAAAAGCTCAAACATAGACCAAACTGTTTCTCACTAGTGTTGTTTAAGAGACATCACAAGATGCATGTATCTCAGTTTTATTAATAAGATCCTCTGTTCGATCGTGGGAAGAGATCCTTCTGCGTGCATGGAGAGTTATCTGCTGCGGTGACCCATAAGGGAGCAGCTGAAAGTAGCTTTAGTTCTGCATGTACCGTACATTACCCGGGTCAGTCTTAACTTTCAGTTTTTAACAGTCGTTTGCAGTAAATGTCATTTGCTTTGCTGCTGTATGTTTTTGGATTAAGTTTCTGCTACAATAGTTTTTATGTTCTATTTTGCTTCTGTGGACATTTCATTTTATCCAGTTTTAAACTTTGCTGTTTTATGCTTGTAGTGTTACTGTCCAATAAAAAAACTACTACTCAGATTTATGACACCACATTTCAGAGCTAATCCACCAGGTGTTTATTTTAAGAACAAGGAGGATGCTCTTGACTGATACAGGAACATTGAACAGAAACATTCAGTGTCACCATATTTGGATTTATATGGTTTTCACAGGACATTAAAGGTACATCCACACAGGAAGTGGTTTGTGGTGATTAGTGAAGTGAACTGTTCCCGAGTTAATTGGAATTATAGTAAAGAAGATATATATATATATATATATATATAGATATAGATATAGATAGAGATATATATATATAGAGAGATATATATATAGATAGAGATATAGATATAATGGCTGCAATAATTCCTGGCTTCATAAAGGTTGCAATCTTCAGTTTTTCTTGATTATAGGTTTTGAATCGACTCTATGATTACATTCAAGGATGTAGGGAGCTACTTAACTGGCTTGCGAGGTCATCAGTGGTGCTCTCCTGTGGTTTCAAATATCATCTCTTCAGCAGGAAAACATGTGAAGTGATTTATTGCATTTAGTCTTCTTACTGTGATCATTTGCATTTATGCTGCTCGTCTTCTCACCCATCACAAATTAATTATTCGATAAACATGTTTTTAAAAGTTTCCCCCATTGGACAACCTTGCAAGATAGAAGCTAGCCATGCTACTTAGTTGAACCAGCTACAGTTTATTGAAATCATGTGTATCCAGTCTTTAAATGATGACGTGTGAACCTGCTTCCGGGCCCAAACTACTCTGCATTTATTAAGGCTGTTGTGTTTTTAACATGTTTTAATGCTTTGTATCTTGTTCTGTTTAATCTGAAGGAGCCCCTAAAAACAGTCAGTGATCACTGTTGGTCTCTGTTTTTATTACACTATTCATTTTAAAGCTGAGGTTTTAAACTGTTACAATGTAACTCCAGCCCAGCCCATGCAGCAGTATATGAATGACTAACCTCGTATTGTGGATGGATTATCTCAGTTGTTCTCCTGACTGAGGTTTGGTCCGTTTACAGCATCCTGCCATGCGATTACATTTGTCCCTAACCATCAGGAACCTTCACGTTAACTTTTATCGAGTGGAAAAAAGTTAGTGTTCATCCTCCAGCTTCACTGTGTTTATGTCATGCTAACAGGAAGTGACAGCAGAGCTGTACATTTTAGTTTTTCAGAAATCTCTCAGTCAGAACATGCTATATCATGTTTAGGTGGGAACTAGCGAGCTAACTTCCTGCTAACTTCTAACTCTGTTGAATTTAATAAATTCTGTTTTCATGGATGCCTGGATTTTAAACTTCATTGTTACACCTGGTAAAGCAGCAACGCTGATCATTTTATTAAAGATGAAAGAATTTAGACAGTTTGCAGCATCTCTGAGAGTTATAGTGTTCGCTTGACTTTGGGACCTGAATCGGAGTTTGGACCCGGAAACGGCTAATGACATCAGACTTAAAGACCGGATTATGCTTAGTGTTTTTAACCTTGCTGCTAATAACAGATGTAAACACTGAGATACTTCGTATGGCAAGACTTTGAGGTAAATATAGGCCCACTGGATTTCCTTTGAAGTATTTCTTATTTGAAT